AAAGTTAGATATTATGGGACTTCCGTAAAATACATATCTTTCTGTGTGGTGTAATAACTCGTATAAAGCTGTAAACGTTGGATGTTATGGGACTTCCGTAAAATACATATGTTTCTGTGTAATGTAATAACTGGTATAAAGCTGTAGAAGTTAGATGTTATGGGACTTCCGTAAAATACATATCTTTCTGTGTGGTGTAATAACTCGTATAAAGCTGTAAAAGTTAGATGTTATGGGACTTCCGTAAAATACATATCTTTCTGTGTGGTGTAATAACTCGTATAAAGCTGTAAAAGTTAGATATTATGGGACTTCTGTAAAATACATATCTTTCTGTATGGTGTAATAACTGGTATAAAGCTGTAAAGTTAGATATTATGGGACTTCCGTAAAATACATATCTTTCTGTGTGGTGTAATAACTCGTATAAAGCTGTAAACGTTGGATGTTATGGGACTTCCGTAAAATACATATCTTTCTGTGTGGTGTAATAACTCGTATAAAGATGTAAAAGTTAGATGTTATGGGACTTCCGTAAAATACATGTCTTTCTGTGTGGTGTAATAACTCGTATACAGCTGTAAAAGTTAGATGTTATGGGACTTCCGTAAAATACATATCTTTCTGTTTGGTGTAATTATTAAATATTGGTTGGATAACTAATACGAATGGTGATTTTTCTATTGTCTGGTTTGACATTTAACCAGTGATGTATGTTAAATTTACTCACTAAAGGAATATAGAAGTATTATTGTTTAATTCATAGTTTTATGTTCGTTAATTTAGTGGTTCAGTTTATTTATTTTAAACTACTAATAAAAAATCTAACATAGTTTTAAATTTCCTTTAGGCCACAGAAAAATATTTTTGTTACAAATAAAAATTACAAAATTTTAAGTGTTCCTGAACCTTGCTAAGGACCTAAATGGGCCGCAGACCCCTTACTTGCTCAAGTAGTGATCTCGTAACATTTTCAGTTAATAAAATGAGCCTAAAATATGCAAACTTGTAATCTTTACAATCTTGGTGACAAAGTGAAAATATGCTTTTAGTGTGACTATAAGAAAGCTATCACTAGATTCTGTTTGGGATTTAACAGAGAAATAAAAATATTTGTATTTATGTTAATTTTTATGAGCCTGTTGTCATTTTCTACTTTTTTCAGGTGGGATGAAACAAACTTATCAGGATTTTGATAAAAAACTTCAAGACTTGGGATTTGGTGAGCACACATTTATATCTCTTAAATATTTAGTAACCAATGTCAAGTAAGAGAGTGATCAAACAATTCAGTCTTCGACGTTCAAATAAAGCCACTTCATGATTGTTTTAAGATAAAATATACAAACTAGAGAATATATTGTGACCAGTAGTTTCTCACCAAGTTTTACTGAAACTCGGAACAAAAGGTGTAAGCATTTAATGTAAAATGGAATTATACATACATAGTATAGTGATAAATCATTCATGGATGACATTATTGGTAGTGGTAATCTTGGAGTGGCTTTCTTGGTAGGGATGATCTAACAGAGTTTCTTTGTGGCGATTATCTAGCAAAGTTTATTGTTAGCAATGATCTAACAAAGTTTCTTTCTTGGTAGTGATGATTCATAAGTGGTTTTTATAGATAATAGTGATCTAACAGAGTTTCTTGTTAGCAATGATCTAACAAAGTTTCTTTCTTGGTAGCGATGATTCATGAGTGTTTTTTATAGATAATAATGATCTAACAAAGTTTCTAGTTAGTGATGATTCATGAGTTGTTTTATAGCTAATAATGATCTAACAA